ACTATGATTCATGTAGCTTCCCTCAGAGGGCAAGCTTAGTTCCTCATAGAAATAAGAGTGGAAAAAAAGAGCACTACCATCCTCAGAGGGAATGGGACATGGGGTTGAGGCTAGCCCTCTGAGAAGGCCCTCCTGGGATGCTTTTCCTGGCCTCCCCACTGGCAGCTTTGGGTTCTGCACCACCCTTCACCTCCACCTGGAGTGATTCTTCTGAGCACTGTAAGGGGAAAGCTTATTAAATGCTTATCGGCTGTCACCCCAGTCCCTCCGGCTCTTCCAGCCCCAGTGCCTCACTGCTCATCACCCAGGCCCCAGAGAAATACCCAGGCCACAGACCGCCTGAATGAGCTGTGCATATTCACGTCTCTGAGCCTTTGCAGGGCTGTGTCTCTGCCTGGAATGCCCTCGGCCCCTTGCCTACTTGGTAAACTCCTTTAGAATCTCTGGACCCAGGATTGGTGTTCAGGAGCAACCCTGGGCAGGTTACTTGATGTTTCTGCAGCTCAGTTTTCTGAGTTGCAAGATGAGACTGGTCATATTTGCCTTGATGACCTGGAAGAGAGGTGGAGGGTCAAGCAGGACAGTGGCTGGCAAAGCAAACTACAGAGGGTAAGACTCAGAAATAATAATAGAGATAATGAGAGTAATAACTGATGTGGATTGAGCACTTGTTATACATGTCAGGCACTGCTGTGAGCCCCACATAAATTTTCTCATCTGATCTTCACGATAGCCCTGGAACTGCCTCAAGACAAAGGCACAGCCAGGTAGGCAGGGCATGGACTTGTGGTGAGCTTCAAAGGCTCTGGATTGGACAGACCTGAGTTTTGGTCCTGGCTCAGCCTCTTATTTGCTCTGGGACTCTGGGCACACTCTTTACCTCCTCCCAGCTTCAGTGTCCTTATCTATGAATTGGAGATGTGATGTCACCTACTTTATGGTGTTGACACATAAGGCAACATGGGGTACGTACACAGCACTGAGCCTGGCTAAGTGAATATTAACTATTATGATGAATTATATGCTCACTTTACAGACTGGAAAACAGAGGCTTGATGAGGTTAAGTAACTTGCTTAGAGTCACATGGAGAGAGTGTTGGAGCTGAGGTTTGGACCTTGTCTGTCGGACTTCTGAGTCAAAGATCTTAACCATTGCTTCTTGGACTGGATGTTAGGACATCTGGATTATAACTTCATTAACCCATGGGGTGATGTGCACAAGTCCCTTTCCATTATTGGACCTCAGAATAAAGTGAGGGTGCTGGACCAGGTGGCCTCTAAGATCTGTGAATCCATGTAGATGATACCCACAAAACCTCCCTTTGTGAATATTCATCTGTGTTTTTTAAAATAAAAGGCACTATCTAACTGGGAGGTCTCTGGATCAATGCAGATGAGGCTGCTGAGGGCAGCTGCAGAAGAGAGCAGCTCAGTACACTGAGGGTACTGAGAAAACATTGGTGTTGGCATGGCATGAGAGTGTGCCCAGAGTCCCAGAGCACATAAGGGTCTGGGGCCAAGTCCTGCCTCTTGTTGCCATGAGAACAGGAAAGCAGAATGTAGAAATAGTCCTGTGCTGAGCCTCTTATCAATTCCACCACCATCCATCCATCCATCATGTACTCATCCATCCATCCATCCATCCATCCATCCATCCCTCTCCCTCCCTAGTTCTCACCTCATTGATTACATATCTATACATTTATTCACCAGTCAATTCACTTACTTCACCTACCCAACCAGTACTTCCGGAGAGCCTATGCCAGGGGGAATAGAGATGACTCAGCCGTGTCTCTCACTCTTAAAAGAGCCCACAGCCTGCATCAGACAGCAAGAAGACTTGGCGTCCTTGTGGAGGGAGAAATACAGCCCTACCTGGGTGACAGTTTTCCCAGGTCAGGCCCATTTCCCAGTCAGAGCTGAGGGGTAGTGTGTGGAGAACACCGCATGCCTTTCTTGCCCTGTCTCCTCTTGCATGGATTAGTATGTCCTGCCGTCTAGATTTCCTAGCCTGGTTTGGAGGGTGGCCGGACTTCCAGCCTAGACTGAGCAGCCCCTGACTCTTTTCGGGATTCCTGTGGGCCCAGAAGGGCAGTCTTGGAGAACTCCTTGGCCCCATATAGCTGGCAGGTCCTGGTGTTAATCTGACCCTACAGACCCCAGGACCAAATTATGCTAAAGATGCTGCAGGATTGGTTTCAATGACCAAAAACCTGGTCTGCACACCATACTCAACAGCTGGCTTTAGGGTATCTGTAAGTTGGCTTTGCTACTAATTGGCTGTGTGCCTTTGTGCAAGACCCTTTCTCTCTGTCGCCCTGACACCTCTCCTGTCTATTTGTTTATTGGTTAGCCTCTGCATTGCTACAAATGGAATCCCCTTTCAACGGATGATTGATTATATTGCTGAAAAATGACAACACTAATCATACTAGGGCTGAATATGTGTGGCATTGTGCTAAGCACTTTCCACTCACTAATTTCATCCTCACAAAAACTTCATCATTTCCCCCAGGAAGGAGAGGCACAGAGACATTAAGTAACTTGTTAACATTCATGTAGCTAGTGAGGGATTTGAACCCAGGCAGTCTGGCTTCAGAGTGTTAGCTTTAATTGCTACCTAGTCATTCCAGGCAGCTCTGCTATACCTTCCACACTGAAGGCCATCAGCCCGCAGCAAGGAGAACCATGGGGCCAGGGTTCTTTCAGAAAAGACCCAGAAAGAGAGACATAGGGGTCTTAGGATGCCAGGATTCAAGGCACAGAGGGGGATACTGGTGTCTAAGAGGTGAATGACCTAGCCTGATTACAAGCCAAGGATTCCAGTTCCCAGACTCCTGACCTCTCTCCAGTCTCAGCAGCTACACCTTCTCCCCAGGCAGACTGACTGACCCCTGTCCTTTAAGCCACCTGGACACAGCCTCAGTCAACCAACATCTGGAAATGAGATATTAGCTTTACCACTCAGTGCTATGAAACATTGCCTAATTGAGACACTGCTGTGGAGATGTTTCCTCGGTCTCCCTGGTGGATCCCAGAACTCCTTTTTACTGTAATTGTGTGACGTACATCTCAATCCAAGTCCACCTCACAGGGCTCTGCCCACATGGCTGCCCACATTGCCTGAAGCCTGCTCTGGGAATTGCCCCACTCTGTCTCTGTCAGGTCTGCACGACGAGATCATTAATAGCATGTCAGTTATTTTAGGAAGGCCCAGGGAACAGAATAAAGCATTGCCAATCTCCCTTGATTCCCAGATCGGGGCTGCGGAGTGGGGGTGGCAAGAAGACAAAAACAGCATCATTTCTGGCATCTCCCCCAGGAGTCTCTACCACCCATCTGTGCGTGTAATCCCGACCTACTTTCTCCTTTTGTTGGTGCTGCTTCCCTGGGCCTGTAGCTCAGGGGCTCATGTCCAGGCTGCTCAGCTGCAGTGGAGGATGTAGCTCCTGCAACCCCAGTGTTGGAGGCAGAAGCTGCCTCCTTCTCCTCCTCCACCAACCCTCAGGCCCTCTCTACTGACTCACACTCTCCTCCCCATCTTGATACAGCAGCTGGCGGCTCGCACAACAGAAGGGAGGTCAGGGCTACAGCACATCTGGAGGGTAAGCAAAAAAGCTCAGCCACTCACCCAGATGCTCGCACAGCAAAATGCCCTACACCTGGGTGCCAACTGACCTCTGGATAGATAGTTCTGTGTTTCTCTTCATCCGTAAAGGCAATCTGTGCTTCTAAACCAAAAAGGGATTATAGCATGATGAGTCTAGGCAGCTCAGCTGAGACAGGACTATGACAGGTTTTCCTAATAAAACTACTAGTATCACTCTATTACTAATAACAACACTGTCAGTGGTACATTGTGAAAATGGCCACAATTAGGCCCCTTATCCAAGCCCTTTGCAACGTGACTTTGTAGTTCTTCCCATCAAGAGATAGAGTCTATTTCCTCACTGCTCAAATCTGGGCAGGCCTCTTGACTTACATTTGCCAATAGGATGCAGCAAAATGGTGTGAACAAGCCCAGGCCGGCCTGCTGGAGGAGGTGGGACCACACACAGCAGGGATGAATGGTCCCAGCTGAGGCCACCCTAGATCAGCCCACAGTCCTGCCACGGTCAGCAGAGCTGTTCACTTGAGCCACTGCAAATGCGTGAGGGAGTCCCGCCAAGACCAGAAAAACCACTTAGCTGAACCCAGCCTAAATTGCTGAATCACAGAATTGGGAACTAAATACACAGTTTGGTTTTGAGACACTAATTTTTGGAGTATAATTCTCTCCCCTTATCCATAGGGGATGTGTTCGAAGACCCCCTGGATGCCTGAAACCTCAGATAGTACTGAACCTTATATGTACTGTTTTTTCCTGCAAGTCCATACCTATGATACAGTTTAATTTATAAATTAGGCACAGTAAGAGATGAATAACAATAACTAATAATAAGATGGAACACCTATAACCATATTCCATAATAAAAGTTATGTGATGTGGTCTCTCTCTCAAAAATCTCTTATGTCCTGTGCTCCCCCTTCTTTTTGTCATGATGTGAGATGATAAAGTACCTACAGGATGCGATGCAGTGAGATGAAGGATGTAGGCATTGGGATGTAGCCTTAGGCTACTATTGACCTGACTATGTGTCAGAAGGAGGGTCTTCTGTTTCTGGACTGCGGTTGACCACGGATAACTGAAACCATGGTAAGTGAAACCCTGGATAAGCGGGGACTACTGATATATATCAAAAGTTAACTGACAAAAATTTCATTTTTGGGGGGGGAAGAGGGCAGTAACAGAATCTAAAAAACACAATAAACAAGGTTTTTTTTTGTCACATGAACATCATAGCTAGGTCAAAGAGAAACAACTTGCTCACTATCTGAACAGGCCAAAATACATCAGCAGGTTTAAAAATATGAATCATGAATCACGTTGCTCAACCTGTCCAGTACTTCTGCAGCACCCTATGGATGCTGCGCCCTCTAGTGGACGATGTGCCGCTTACCAGAATCTTGGTGGTGTAGGCGCTGTTGATGGCGATGGCGTTGACCAGCAGCTCCATGGTCTTGGCGTTGATGGAGCTGGGGTCGGGGATCTCCTTGTAGTGGACATCACCGACGTACACCTGCACCACCGTCATGCGATTGGTGGTCAGTGTGCCTGTCTTGTCCGAACAGATGGCCGTGGCGTTGCCCATGGTCTCACAGGCGTCCAGGTGGCGTACCAGGTTGTTATCCTTCATCATTTTCTGGCGGAAGGGGCAGGTGACAGGGCAGCAGTGAGGAAAGGGAGCTGGGGGCCATGGTACCCATGGCATTGGGTAAACACAGTTAGTGAGGCAGAGCTTCCATGTCTGCCCCTGTGCTTCCTGCACATGTAAAGGGTCTTGGTTGCTGCCGCTTCTGTCTGACACCTGGGCTCCTTTTGTATGTGAAGCCCTTTTCCTTCTTTTTCATTATTTGAGCCACTTAAAAGATTTGATTAATTGACTTTATTAACTTGCATTACAGAAATAATCTGTGTTCTTTAGGGAAAAATTAGGGAAAAGGATGATAAATTAGGGCTGGGTCCCCTTTAATTACTTCAAATAATTTTTTCTTACACACTAATAGGAACAACCATTCCTTCCTTAAGGGTTTTTTTCAAATGTGCCATCTTTCACTGGTGTCCGGTTTTCAACAGCCCTTTGATTTCACCAAGAGTAAATAAATTCAGGGCATATATGTTTACAGGCATATGACAATATCTGGAGAAATATCAACATATTAGTGTCATTATTTCTGGGTGGTGGAATTATAGGAAACTTACTGGCTTCTTTTAGAAAAATCTATAGATTCTGTTTTTTTACTATAAATACATATTATAACTTGCATAATAGAAGTCACAATTTCCTTTAAATATAGATACACCAAAAAGGAAACAAATTAGCTATCATGTTACCACCTGGAACTGATACATCTTCTATATCAATATCCTTTCTTTTTAAATTAGAACAAAAATGAAGTTCTACTATAAATACTATTAATTTTCTTGCCTCTTTCATCCCAGATCCACACTCCTCCTTCTTCTAGGCTCTTAATCAAGTCATACAAATAGAGGAATTTTCAAGGAACCACCACCCTTAAAGCAGGCCCTCCTGCCAAAGTGACCCTATCTGGCAAGGAGGGACATGAAAAGTTGCTAGAGGCTGAATTAGACATCGTTCCAGTCTGTTCCTAGGAATTTTATTTCCTTTATTCTTGCTCTTCATTATAACTTTATAACATGGGTACAAAAAGGAGTGCAATTATATAGCAGTTCATGTTACTAAAAAAATGAGTATTGGTAGAATTATATGCTATTGCAGTTTCTTCTTCTTATAACCTAAATGTAAACCAGAATACACTTTAGTAGTAACAATGACTGTATGTGGAATGTGTGATCAACAGCCATTTGAATTTGCAAACTTTAGTTTGCAAAGTTCTTCTATGCATATTTTCCTACCTGATGTTATAAGAATCCTGTGAAACCTTCCAGGATTCTTGTAATGCATTTTGGCAACTGAAGAAGCCAAGGCATAGTGACTTAACCAGGGTCACACCCCGAGTGAGGATTAAAGCTGGGATATGAACCCAGCTCGGTTTAACCTCATGGCCTGGATCATTCCATCAGAACTCTGCCTGTTGGGACTCTCTGAAGAATGTTTGTCTGTTTGGCTTAGGAATGTATAGGCCTGAGTATAGCACAGAGAAGACAAGTAGTGACTCTATAGCATCTTACTACACTGATGGACAGTGACTGTAATGGGCTATGTGGTGGGGACTTGATAATGGGGAGAATCTAGTAACCACCATGTTGTCCATGTGATTTTATATTAATGATACCAAAAAAAAAAAGAATGTATAGGCCTGGGCTGCCCAATATGGTAGCCACCTGTGCCTACTGGGCCCTGGAAATGTGGCTGGCCCAATGTGAAATGTGCTGTAAATGTAAAATACACATGGGATTTTCAAGATGTATGATGAAAAGGGAAATATAAAGTATCTCACTAGTAACTTTTATATTGACTACATGTTGGACTGGTAATAATTTGAATGTATTGGGTTAAGTAAATTATATTATTAAAATTAATTTCACTTGTTTCTTTTTACTTTACAAGGAAATTTTAAGTCACACACGCAGCTCACATTATATCTCCATTGTATAGTGTTGATCTAAGTGGTCATTTTTATTCTTTTGATGGTCCAGGCTCAGAGAGGGGAGATTATGCCTCCTCTGGGGTGGGGTGCTATACTGTTGACCAAGTGACTGTATAAGAAACACTCCCTAAAACAGTTGAAAGCACCACGTGCCAGAGATACAAACTGTAGAAGGTGCAGAGGCCTACAAATGTCTGGATGTGATTCACCCGCACCAACTCTGTGACATTTAAGGAGATCCTGAGCTCAGCTGGGTGGCTGTGGGGGTCCCAACTCATGGCTTTGTGTGAGAGTCTCTACCTCCAGGCCCAGGCTCCCAAGCAGCTTTGTGGTATGTGACCTGTTTGGGCTTGGTTTGTGGGATGGAGTTTCTTTGAGAACCCTAAAACAAGGAGGTGATAAGGACCATATCCTTTACACAGAGCCGCCACTTTCTGGCACCTACTTGAAGATCTCTTTCTGTATGAAATTACATCGGTGAGCCCAGCCCAAATTCCAGCTTGGAAACTGACGCTCACCATGCTCTCTGGAAGTTCTGCCAATATCTAAGAATGGGTACATTGTGTATAAATGTGACCAGGACTCTAACCCTGCAGGGACATCCTGGCACTGAGGCCTTGGGAAAAAGGAGCATAATGCCCTGCCCTCTGAGGTGGGAAACCATGCCCTCTGAGGTGGGAAACTACAGGGCCCATGGAAAAGAATGCACCCGAGGTGTGAGCCAGGCTTTAAGTATCCCCAAGAGGGTCAGACACTCAGTGCCATGGAGATGCCAGCCCACATAGCCCAACATTTGGGCTCTGCAGATGGCTATGGGCCTGGGCTCATGGGGAGGTGGGGCTTTGCCATCAGGGTAGCACTTAGGAACTCCCCCACCAGACCCAAGTTCCAGAATCAGCATGCATGGGCCCACGACCCTTCACCAAACTGCTTTTAAAACCTCTTATATATTCCGCCTTCCTGAAAAGAGGGGGCTTCCATAGAATCAGATGTCCTTTTTGACTTAGGCATATTTCTTCCAAACTTAAGGGAGCAAACTCTGAGATTAGTGGTAGAAGTACTGTGGGTACCGTGGGGCTTGATTATGGAAGCCAGACTTCTGCTTATATTTGGTGGGACAAGGATGGGTTTGGTTCTGCACATGATGTCTGCTTTTAATATACATTTTAAAAGTTGAGTTGATTGTCAATATTTAAAAGTCAAGAGAATTTATATTAAGTCCAGGTTTCTGGCTTCTCTTGGAAAAATGTGAAAATTTGGCAATGCTGGGCCTGCATCTCTGCAAGGCAACACTTGGCCGGGCTGAATGATGGCTGTCCCTCTAGCTGGAGTATGGCTTTCAGGTTCGCCACAGGCCCCCGGACTCCCTGAAGGCATGTGAGTTTTGGGTTCCTACATGAATCCTCTCTCTGAGCTTGTAACATGTCCATTCCTTTCTTTTTAGCTCTTCTCCCAACCCCAGCACTGGCCCCACGGGTCACCCCACAGACCCCGTTGCAGGGAGCAGCCAATTTCAGTCCTGCTCTGTCCTTCTCACCTTCACCGAGTAGGCCAGCGAGATGGTGACGGCCAGAGGGAGCCCCTCGGGCACAGCGACTACCAGCACCGTGACGCCAATGATGAAGAACTTGACGAAGTACTGCACGTAGACGGGCGTGCACTCGGGCAGCCATGGCTTCTTGTTAACCACGAAGGTGTCCACGGTGAAGTAGAGCACCAGGATGATCACCGTGATGGCGGACATCACGAGGCCTGCAACACGGGTGGTAGGAGACTGCTCAGGGGGCTCCCAGGGGTGGGGGTCCCTGGGAAGTGAGATGTGGACCAAACCCTCGCCAAAAGGGCTCTGGGGTCAGGTGAATTCCAGCTCTGCCACTTACTTGCTTTGTGGCCTGGAGTAAGTCCTTGATCCTCACAGAGCCTTAGTTTCCTTCTCTGTACGATGGGAATGCATATCTATTTCATATGGTTTTACACAGATCAAGTGCAATGAATGCACATACAGTGCCTAGCACAGTGGCGGACACTTAGTAGGTGCTCTAGACATGTGTGCTGAGTGGCTATATGAATAAATAGGAATGTGCGTTATGCTCTCACACAGTAATGATATGAACTGGTACTATTTATTTCCTCATTGATTCAGACACATAGAAGTTCCTATTCCAGGCACTGAAGAGGACACAGTCCCTGCACTTGCGAAGCTGAGATTCTAGAGGGGATGCTAAATAAGAAACACACACATGAATAAGATATTCAGATATGGGTAATGCTGTGAAGAAAAGCCCCAGGATGTTGTGATAGAAAGTGACAAATGCTGAAGATAAGAAAACAAACAACATGTCCATTGACAGATGAAGAGATAAAAGAAATGTGGTCTGTATATTCAATGGAATATTATACAGCCTGGAAACGAAGGAAAACCCTGCATTTGCAATATCATGGATGGATCTGGAGGACATTATGCTAAGTGAAATCAGGCAGACATAGGACTCACATGAGGAATCTAAAATGGTCAAACTCATAAAAGCAGAGAATAGAAGGTGGTTGCCAGTGGTTCAGGGATGGGGGTAAAGGGGGCTGTTTTTCAGTGGGTATAAAGTTTCAGTTACGAAGATGAATTAACTTCTAGAGACCTGTTGAACAACACGGTATTGTGTACTTAAAAATCTGTTAAGAGGATGAATTGTAGATAAGAGTTCTTACCTAAAACGCAAAAAACAAAAACACCACAAAAGAACACAAGGACATTTTTGGAGGGGCTGTATGTTTAAAACTATGGTTGTGGTAATAGTATCATGGGTGTGCGCCTATGTCCAAACTCATGAAGACGTGCACATTAAAAGTGGGCAATTTTTGGTCTATAAATTCCATCTCCACAAAGCAAAAAAAAAAAAAATTAAACAAAAGTACCATGGGCTGGTAGGGAGTGGCTACTTTAGGGAGGGTGGCCAAGGAAGACGTCCTGGAGGAGGTGCTATCTGAGCCGACAGAGCAATGATAAGAAGGAGCAGCCAGGTGATGACCTGCGGGAGAGTGGTCCAGACAGAGGCAACAGCAGGGAGCCCTTTTTTGGGTGAGGAAAATGAGGCTTAGTGAGGCCAAGTGGCTTTCCCAAGGCCAAAGGCCAGGGAGGCACTGCTGAGTTAGTGAATGTAGGGAGCTACCTGCCCAGATGCCCCGGGACCCTGCCTGCCCATTCAGAGGGCCCAGCCCCACCTGCTGCAAGTGCTGTGCAGGGGCTGCTGAGACCAGCAGCCTCGGCCAGTGGAGGATGGCTCCTGGGTGATTGGAGCCTCTTGTCAGGCAGTGCCTGGGAGTGTGCCTCACCGCAATCTGATGGCCAATGTCCAGTGGCTGATGTGGGGTCCAGCTCCCTTGCTGCAAGGTGGGACAGACCCTGCAAAGGCACTCGTGCTCCAGAGCTCCCGTGGGATCGGCTGGAAACAGGGACTCCTCCAGGAATCTCAGTGGTGTCTTCCCCAGCACTGGCTTCTTCCCCAGCACTGGCTTCTTCCCCAGCCCTGTTGAGTCCCTTACCCTTTATAGGTCTCACCTGAGATTATACCCCCCCAAATCCTGTACCCACCCATCACAGGCTCTGCTTTCAGGGAATCCAGCCCAAGAGAGAAGCAGAAGTGGGATGTAAACCCAGAAGTGCTTGACTGTGAACTCCGTTCTTGGCAGTGCCCAGGAGAGGGAGGGAGGGGGGTGAGGATGCTTAGTTCCCTGCCCCCAGTGCTACATTTCTTTCTCTGTGGCAGGGATGGAGGAAATCCCTAGGCCCATCACTCCCCCACCCCCACTCCAGCTGTGGAGCCTCAGAGCTGGCTCTATCCCCGTCTGACAGTCGCAGGGGCGGGAAGCCAAGTTCCCAGCAGCCGGGAGCTGTCACCAGGCCTCCCAGAGTTTAAATATAGACAGCCAAGCCTGTAATTTGCCTCCCTTCTCCATGCTGTGGTGCCTATAATTAGAGCCGGGAGACAGCCACAGAGGAGCGAGCAGCCAGGTGGGGAGGCCTTGGCATTTGCCACATCTTTACCCGGGAGGAGAGGCTAAGGCTATGTCAGACAGGCAGGGCTCACTCTGCAGCTGGGCTTGGCTTTCTGGGCCAGAGCACCAGCCATCAGCTGCAGCTCCAAACTCTTTAGGGAAGCTGTGTTGTTGGGCTGGGGCTCAGACAAGGGGTTTCTCACTGGACTCTTGGCATTGTCCTTAACCTCTTCAGTCTTCCTCTGTACTGCAGCTGGGCTGCTCAAATCCATCCTTGATCTCCCCTGCTCAAACCTCTTCCATGGCTCCCTCTGTCCTCAGGATAAAAGCTGAGCTGCCAACTCCAGGCCCTGCAGGATCTGCCCCCTTCCAGCCACCACACCTACTGAGTGCTAAGCACTCTGCAAAAAATTCCCTTTCCTCCTCACAGCAGCCTGTGAAGTAGGGACTGCTGGTATCCTAATTTCACAGACCTGAAGGCAGAGGCTCAGAACTAGGTAGAGTTACCTGCCCAAGTTCTCACAGCCACAGCTGGACAAGAACGCAGGCAGTCTGCTCCCAGAGCCCAGGCTTTTAGCTTTACTCTTTTGCCTGCATGCTAATTGTGTGCCTATTGTAAGGACTCAGACTGGTTGCTATGATTAGAGAAGGGTGGGTCTCAGGGGCCATCTCATGCTAGTTCCCCCTTTGCAGATGAGGCAGTTGAAGCTCAGCTTAGGTCAGGGCCCTGCCTGGGGACCCACTATATGCCCTGTGTATCCCTCATGACATCCACTGTGGCCAAACACTCACCCGCCTTGCCGATCTGCACAGCCAGTTTGGTGAGCTTGCCCTGCAGCACAGATTTCTCCTTTTTGTGCATGTTGGCCTTCTTCTTGTCATCAGCGTCGCCACCCTCAGCACTCTTGAGGGGTTGCATCTCCATGGCGGCCGCCCCGTCCTGCTGTTTGGCTGCAGGGGGCAGAGCACGGAAGTGCACGTGCACACACACACACACACAGGTCAGTCTGCAGGGTGGGGGTACTGGCACCCACCCTGCCTGCCCAGGGGAGTGTGGTGAGGCCCTCACTCCCCTGCCTGGGCTGCTGCATGGCTGGCACAGAAGCCCTGTGATGTGGGCTCTGTCTCTTCTAGCTGTAGGCCCTGGTTCCAGGGCCACAGGCTGCCTCGGACTTGGAATCCAGGACACAGCAGGGAGTGACATAGCTCTACCCTGGCTTCCAGTGGGAGTGGGCTCAGGTCCCCTCTGAACATGCCCACAGACCTTTCCCCAAATGACCTCTTGGCTTTTCCCACACTCAGACAAGGCATAGACTTGGGGGCTCTACCCAGCTAGTCATTGGGCCATGTAATGTTGGGATACTAATCTCTTACAGATGGGCTTAAGTGGTAAAAGAGAGTGTCCTGGTCCATGGATGTCAACCCTCTACCTCCAGTGTAGGACTGACTGATGGGCCGGGGACCTTACCCCTTTGCCCCTGTGGATCTCAAAGAACCAGCCTGAAGCCTTCAGCTAAGTGGGCAGCACAGCTCAAGGGCCTAGAGGAAGCTGGCTTGCCAGTGTCTCCTGTTCTCACTGGTGATGCCTTCATTTGGCATGGTGCCACGAGAGTCACTCCCCAAAGACATCAGGCACCTGCAGGTGTGCTGTGTCTATCTCTGGTGTGCCACTCAGCTGGTGGGGAGGGGCTGCAGGGGCCACAGAAGCTGGTTAATATGACGGGGTTACCTTTGCTCTGACTGGTGTCCACATTGCCGTCCTGCATTTTACCTATACGACAAAGAATTTTAACAGACAACAGAGAACAGACAACACGTCGGTCATCACGAAGACGCAACAGGGCCACGGACGTTCATGTCACAGATAGAGGGAGGGCTGGGCTGATGGCATCCCACCACGTGGGGATGCTGAGGAGGCCCCTGAGGCAGAGAAAACTTGCCACAGTGGCTGCAGGGTCTGTCTTGATTCTCTGGGGGCTTGGAGAGAGTGCTTCTGTGGGAATTACTTTGTCCCTCACCATCTTACAGCCTTTGAGGGTAAAAGGGACCAGGATCAGCTGGTAGGCAAAGGAGTGGAAATTCTCAGGTCCCCAGTGAATGATTTGGTTGGTTTTACGGGCTGAGAGGAAGCAACAGGGAACAAGATTGAGGGAGAGAGTGATTGGTTCTAGAATGGGAGTTTCAGTTTGGCCAATGTGTTCATGAGTTTCCGGCTCCAGGAGGGATGCATCTATGTTCTCCTTTCCCTTCAGAAGAGCTGTGAAGCCACAGCATGGAGAGTGACACATGCAAAGGCCCCTGTTGCTCTGTTGCAAAATTCTCTCTCCTGGATTAAAAGACAGAACAGAAGGGTGGGCTCCCCAGTGGTGGGCTCTGAGGTTCCCCAAGTGTGTCCAGGGGACTTGGTGGGAGTGCCCTGGCTCCCAGAGGAAAGCTGCTGGTCCTCCCCTCAATCTGGGTGTGTACTCTCTATTCTGAGGCTGACCAGCGTGGGCCACAGAAGGCAGGGGAAGTTGGGTGGGGTGCCCTCCACTTGCCTCAAGCCTGCATACCTAGTGCTGGAGAAGAGGCTGAGTCTGGGGTTCTCTGACCCCTCATCAGGGCTGCGTGGGAGGCCCCCTACCCAGTCTTGGCCAGAAGCTTGTGGGTTGGGATTGCAGGGTGGGAGGTACTAGTGACCACTACCTGGCAGCTAAGACATCTGCTTTCACTGGCTGGCACTGTGGGGAGAGGGTGCCCACTTGTTCCCTGAGCTCACTCAGAGCTCTGCCTGTAGGCCTTGCTGCCTCAGGAGGAGTCTGAGAAGGTCTGTTACCCTTGGACACGTGCCGTGAAGGTAATTCTCACAGTCCACATTTTGAGAGAAGCCACCATGTGCCAGCTGCATCCTCAACCTCTGGAATTTCATCTAATCCTCACCACATCCTTGCAAAAAGGGGCTCCTGTATTATACCCACTTACAGATGAGAAACTGAGGCTGAGAGGGGGAGACAGTCTGTTCTGGTCTCAGCGGGTAAGTGGAGAGCTGGTCCCAAAGTGCCTGCATGTTTTCATCCCAGTTGGGAAGAATGCAGTCACCTCTCAGCCCCTCTGCACCCAGGGGAGGGAATGGAGGCAGCTCTAGTGGGACTGGGCTCCCCAAATCCCTGTTTTGACACCAACTAGCTGTGTGGCTTTACCTCTGCCAGCCTCAGCTTCTGCCTCTGTAAAATGGGGATGCAACATTCAACTCCTGGAGCAGCTAAAAGTTGCCTTAATAATAACCACTTGCCCATTCAGCCTTTGCAGTTTTCAAGTATCATCTCTTTTCAGTCGTCTTGATACCCAGCAAGGTGGGGTGGGAAGAATTCTCATCACTCTCATTTTACAGATGAGGGAACTGAGGTCAAGGGAGGTTCAGAGGCAGCCCTCATACATGGAGCAGCCTGAGCCTGATGATAACCCTGTGGCTGATTAATTCCATGCACACTATCATCACCACGATAGGTGACTCAGGGAAGAAGTGCCCTTCCTGGCTTGCAGACCTACTCTTCTCACAGCAACTCACAGCAAAGGGACAGTGATGCACCCTGGGGTTTCAAGATAAAGGCTCCCGTTGCTCTCTTGTAACATTCTCTCTACTGGATTAAAAAATAAAACAGAAAAAGTCTTTTTAGCACAAACAAGAGTGAACTACACTATTTAAAAAAAAATGATTTTGTGAATTAGGCTGAAGGGTATCAGAGGACCCAACTTCAATAACTGGCTTTAGAAGGTACAGAGGGGCCTTCATTTGAATTGCATATTACCAGATGTGTGTGCCTACTAACCAAGCTAGTGATTTCCTCTACCATTTCCCTAGTGACCATGTGCCCAGAAAAATAATCACCAATGCATATGTTGAGGAAGAGAGCAGTGTTTTGGGGGTGCTTTAGTGAAGATGGCCTGGTTTCTTCAGATGCAAGGGACTTATATGGGGCTCTGCCCAGCCAAACTGGTGCTCCACTGGCCCAAAGTTGTGGTGGGGGGACAACCAGCTCTAGCCTCACATGAGACCTGGAAGACAGGCTGTGTTTCAGGGGAGCTGGGATGGAGGTCAGGACCCAAGATGGGAAACTAGGGGGGAGACTCAGGGGCCACTCTGCAGGTGCCAGTTGCAGCTTCGCCAAATGGCTTTGTTTTCTTCATGTATCACCAGGAACATGGGTGTGAAAAGCATGGATGTAGGGGATTTGTGGTAAGGGGACCTAATAACAAGCTTTGGGGAGACAGACCACTAACCGGGAGATCTGGGAGATGTCACTTCTCTTCCCTGAGCATCTGCTTCTTCCTCCGTGAAATGTGACAAATTCAACCCAGGCGATGCTTAAGAAAAGCACCACAAAGGAGTTGTGATGTTATGCCTGGAGTTAAGAGTGATGCATGATTAATTGTGATTACAGGTGATGTATCAAATAGCTATATGTTAATAAATATGAAATAATAGTAAAATAATACTGGCAATCATAGGCCTCCAGGATGAATGGAATGTCCCCAACCTTAATTTGGGAGGGGCTTGGGGGTATGGGGTCAGGAGAAATACTGCCCCCTGAGTTTGTTTTCAACATCCAACTCATCCTGATTTGGCTCAGAGGAAAGAAGGGAAAGGAATAGCTCATTCTCTAACTTACCAAGGCTCGGCCTAGCGCCTCTCAACCTTTAATGCACTGCACCTGCAGCCTGGAGTTCCCGTTAGGGTGCACATTCTCATTCAGTAGGTCTGGGGTGTGGCCTGAGATTCTGCATTTCTAACAAGCTCCTAGGAGATGCCCAGGGCATACCAATCCCAAAAGATTCAGTCGGGAAAGGTCCTGCAGCCAAATCAGCCTGGGAAGCACTGTTATGTAGAAAAGGCTTTAACTCTCCACTACAACCCAGCACATTCAAGGCACTGCAAAGTCCTATAATGAGGAAGAAACCAATTCTTTCCAGTAGTCCTTAAATATCTTTGACCACAGGAGCCTTTTCTTAGGTGCACACCTCTTAATGCCCTTGTGAAGTTTACAAGATATACTTCATTGGGGAATCTCAGATCAGGAAGAGGGGCACACACTTTAGAGTAAGCCAGGCCTGGGTTCAAATCCCAGCTCTGCTTTCCTGCTCTGTGACCTTGGGCCAGTGTCTCAATCTCCCTGAACCTCAGTTTCCTCATCCTTTAAAATGGGGACAATAAACTCTGTATCATGTGATTGTCATGAGGATGAAATGAGTTGGGGCCCATGAAATGCTTGCAAATGCCTGGCATACGGAAGGTAGGTGGTCAAGAAACAATATTCCCCATCTTTCCTGAATTTTTTTTCTCAGCATACTTGTAGTTTTCTGCTATAGTTTGGAAGTGAAGCTGGCCCTTTTTTGGGACCAGCCCTGGGGGAAGCAGGGTGCCACCTCCTGTCTCCTTCTCCCCCACAGCTGTGGATTTGCCTGCACGGTTCTCCCTGTCATCCCTTGCCACCTCCCCTGATGCATGACACCTCCCACACCCCAAGCTGTCCTCTTTTCTACTCCTCTGCCTGAAATAGACCCATACCCGAATTAGCCCTTTTTGGTAAGGTGCTGCTTACAGAAGTGTCTTGCTTAGCCCCTGACATCTATTAGGTGCTTCCATGACTGGTCATTTGGAATCCAGTGGCTTGGCCAGAGGCCTGGGACAGGGGATGGGAGGATGAGGTGGGACAGGTCTCCATGTTTTCCAGGAGTGGGAAGGAGTAAATGATGTAATGGATGAGGAACCCCGGGCCTGGTGCCTGTTATGCAGCAATCAAGAGAAAAGGCTTTTCCCTTCCTTTGGGGGATTCTCTGGGGTGACTCTTTCACAACTGAGCCCTAGCAGGTCTCAGCAGTTCAGGAGCAGCCTGGGTGGCTATTATGTTACCTAATTTGAGGACAGGGGACATAGCTGAGTAAACAGAAGTATCCTTGCTCTGAAGATGGGAGGGTATAGATATAGAAATCTTCTAAAGGCTTGGAGGCAAGTGAAGCAAGTGAATGCAATTCCTTCCTGACTGTGAGTAAGGAGGTTAAGATGCAGACCCCAGGTCCAGTGGCAGCCCCTTACCCCGCCTGCCATCCCTGAGGGGGCTAGTAAGAATGCAGAGACTCAGGACGAATGCCCCAGCACAGACAAGAGCAGAAAACACCAGTCCACATCTGAGGGACAGAACTAGGCTTGAGCCCAAGCAAACCCATGAAAGAGAAGAAGAAATGTCTATTGGTGGCTCAGCCATGCTATGGGGTAGGGCAGAAGAACTGAACCTGACCTGGGTCCTCCTACCTTGAGGGAATTTTAGAATCAAGGACTGGAGCCTTCAATGGGGACCCAGATGCCAGTTTCAGCCCAGGTCCTGACCCCAGGCCTTTTTCCCAAAGCTGGGGCCAGGAATGTGCTTAGGAGAGGGCCACACCAGGTGGGATGCTGCTTCTTGGGAGCCAAATCGGAAGCCAAGGTCACGTCCCTCTTCCAGGCTCCACCAGGAGTCAAGGGCCCAGCAGCAGCCAGCACCATCTCGGCAGCTACGAGTGGGCGCTGAGCTGGTTCCCCAGGGTGGCCTCTCTTTTAAGCACCTGCCCACATGAGAGGATGGCTGCCCCAGAGCTGCCCATGCACAGAGAAGATCTGCGCATCCAGAACAGGGAGAGGCAAGCCCAGAGTTGGGAGTTGGGGAGAGAGACGCTCATCCAACCGAGATGGAGGGCTCGCCATGGGAGACGTACCATTGACTAGGCTGGTGTTGGCGCTATCAGCAGCATTTGAACCTGCTGCACCATCAGCAGCTGCGGGGGTGGGAAGGATGGAAAAATGCAGGGTGTCACAATGGAGCAAAGCAACAATGCAGAAGACTAATGACAATAAAGACATGAACCAATTCGTGGGAAATAACAGGACTACATTCTTAAAAAAAAATCTCTGTTGTAAATCAGGAAACTCAAATTTGGGGGTGGGGGGTGAAATGTTCCCATAGAGATACCATAGAGGCTGGAGGGAAAAACTCACACATGGAGGGTCTTAGAAATAAAACATGGATGAAATAAAACATGTGATCAACACAGTTAGGCGAATGGAATTGTTCTGTGGTGAGGTCTGAGTCTATGTGCCCTGCTGGGCCAACCAACCATGTTAGAGAGAGTTCTGGGAGGGCAGGGCATCTGGCTGCCCACCAGGGCCAGAGGGGCCGACGGCCAGGAGTCAATTCAAAATATTCAGCAATTGGTATGGAGCAGGCACCAGCCATTCTGAGTGAGTATTTGCTATGACCATCATTGCTGGGTCCCAGAGGAACATCTATCGATGGTGGTGACTTAGATGTCCTCAACTCAGGCCACCGCCTACGGGCCACCTCCTCCTTCCTAACCAGCACTCGAAAGATTGCCCTGGTAACCCCCATCTGCGATGCTCCACCGTTTAAAAGGTGACATCAAGCAGGTTGCATTTTGTGCATGGGACGGGGAAGGTATCAGTGAATTTTCCTTAATTAAGAAATTAAAATTGGTATGAAATAGTCAAAATTCACTCTTGTTCTTTTTTGAGGTAGGGAAATGGGTTCTATGGGAAGGTGAAGGGAAAAAAACTACTGGGTGAGGTGGCCATGCCATGTGGTGAGGGGATGCTGGGACAGACTCTGTTGGGTGCAGGTGTCGGGGGAGAGGGCTGTGGGGACACGTGGTGGTGTATGTGGGGCTGAGGGCTATGTGGAGATGGTGATGGTGTCATTTACACTGGCTAGAGGGGTGAAGCAGTGGAAGGGCAGATAGGCAGGGAGGGGTGCTGGCTCGTCCCGTGGGACTGGCCTCACATAGGTGCCTAGTGGAGCGTCTGGAGGGACGGAGCCTCAGCTGTCACGTGGCCTTCTCCAGCGGTGTGCTGGTGCTCTAGGGCCAGGGCTCAGAGGTCAAAGGCTGTTGCTATTTCTAAAACCCCCAACTACCCTGAGGATGTCTTACTGTACCTGGTAGCTGAAGGCCATCACCCTTCTTCACACCTGTGTGATGATTTTTGAGACATGTTAATGATGGAGAAGCACACCCAGCCTCATCTGCATGTGTGCACATGCACACACACATGCATATACACACACATGCAGCCACATACACCTGGGGTTAACTTGAAATGGGGACCTGTGGTTGTGGGCTCTAAGCAATGTGGAAGTGATGAACTTCCCTGGTGGAGGCAATGGGATGGGAATACTGAGGGGGCCAAGTCCTAGCTGTGCTGCTCACAGAGGGGCTGAGAGCTTAGGCTGCCCTGATATCCTCTTCCATGTTCCCTCTACATCCCACCTCTTCCCTCTACATTAGCACCCCCATCTCACTGGAGTGCAGGTGTGCATTCAGTGAGGGACCCTGACTTGTGCTTTTGGGCAGGAGAGGCCTGTCTTCCTAGTAGCATTTTCNAAAAAAAAAAAAAAGATATATATATATATATATATACACACACACACACACACACACATATATAAAAATAAGGGAAAAGCCTGCCACATCCTGCCCAACTGCCCATGTTTGTCCATCTGTCTGCACCCTGGGGCCACAGCTTTTATGTCATTGTGTGGACGCTGTCCTGACACCCTCAGGGCCTCTTAGCCAGGACTCCATCCTCAGTTTTGACTGCAGCTCTCCCTTTATTCTCTCTGGCCTCTAGATTTCCCACATCACAGCTTAGCTCCATCGCTCTTGATGGTGGAGTTGCCATCATCTAAGGGGGATCCTACTAGAAAACGGTGCCCTCGGGAACAAGTAACCTTTAATCATGACCCAGGCTCTGTGCCTGGCTGGCCTCTGAGACCTGGAAGTAGCAGGGCTGTTCCTAAAACTCAAGGAGGGGCCGAGTGCTATCTCATCTCCTTCCCCTGTACTCCAGATAGTACAGATGTTGGGGTTCCTCCTCTGGACCTTATAAGGCAAAACATTAAATATGTGAAAGGGGGCTGTACCCAAGACCAAGTGTAGTCTGGGCCTTTGGATTTGCTTGGAGATGCACTTGTGACATGGGGTGTCAGCCCACTGCACTGAGGGGAATCCCAGGGGATAAGAAATCTCATTTCCATGGGCAAGGGGAAGCCAGAATGCAGGTGAAGTGGCAGCTCTTGGGGGATGGGAGAGGAGACTTGAGCAGGTGACTTGGAGCCACATGTCTGGCCACCTTTCCCAGAATCTCCTCTGCCCACATCTGGGGAAAGTCTGCGCTGGGTGGATTTGCAGCTCTGCTCAGTGGAGTTGTGAAGAGTGGCAGGAATATGCCGGAGTGGAGATTTCTACTAGATATCAGGGGTGATGATGGGACCAGGTTACATTTGAGGCTGGAGACCCAACAAAGTGCTAAACACCCATGACCTAACCCAGGATGAAGAAAAGGCCTTTGTGACATGACTGAACAAGACAGAGACTGGGACAAGACCCTGGAGATGGAACAGACAGAGCCCTCCTGGCCTCAGCAGGGCCTCAAGCATGTAGAAGGCAACTTCTGGCACAGGGCATGGACATAAAAGGCACTGAGTAACTATATTGAGTGACTGAATTAAAAAATGTGGCTTTAAAGCACCTCTCCTGGTCTGCAAGGGGGTTGGGCTTACCTTTCTTGTCTTTCTTCTCTTCTTCTTCACCGCCAGCCCCCAGCAGGGTAAAGATGATGCCAGTCTGAGAGTTCACACCCACGGCAGTCACCACCATACGTCCAGAGCCCTCCATCACGTGGGTCCCTGAGGAGGGGAGGACAACCAAGTTACCATTGCATGGGCCCAGCCCCCCTCCCCAAAGGAGTGGAAGGAACTGGTCCCAGTCAGCTACCAGCTCTTTGCTTGATGAGGTCCTGGGTGTTGCCCACGGTTAATGTTCAAACTATGTATATATGGTCAGTCTTTTGAAGATGATTTCACCTTAGGACAATACTGTGATGGGCCTGGAGCTGAAGCAGTGCTATGCCTCAGTTCTCAGGCCCCCAAACAGCTCAGACCTCCCATTTACTACTCCCTCCTGGAGAGTTTCTTCCTCCTTCTCTCCTTCTTCCTCTCCCACTGTTACAGGCCACACAGGGACCCCTCTCTTTTCCTTATTGATAGTATCTAGAACCAGGCCTCATTCTGCTTAATTCTGCAACCAGCCAAGAAATGCCAACTAGGTCCTAGACAGGTCTGCTTAAAATGGGTTCCACCCACTTCCCAAATATTTGGGGAAAGAAGTCAGGGCTCTGTGAGCTTAGATAAAAAAACAATGGTATCTTTATTTTCACAAATGTGTAATTGAAATTAAGCATTTCTCCCCATCATGAACAAAGGCAAAAAACCCCAAGAGCATTAGTGGTACCCATGACGCCATTACACACGCAGTACAAGAACTGCAGGTGTTTTCATATCACTTTACAGTCATTGTAATCATGATGCTCACCCTTATTTTACAACTAAGGCTGTTAATAGACCACTGGATATGCTAATAAAGGAGCATACAGTTACTGTATCACACGTTTAAAAAATTCAATTATTTCAACATAATTGGCTTCCTTCGTGATCCAGTGTGTTTTATGTTACGCTTATCAGAGCTTTATTCTGAGTAGGGGTAGCACAGGGCTCCAAGGTGCAGGAAAACTTAAGAACCCCTTTGGTAGAATTCTCTATTTTTTAAGCTGGGTTCCAAAACCCTGGAATTCTTTTGAGGGGCAGGAGGGAAAGCTGTGGGGGGCCTTTGGTCAGAGTGGCTCCATTTTTATTCTTCTTTGGGGTCCTGTGTCAGTCTGAGAGTCTTAACAAGTCGCTCCTGTTAGGCAGGCCCCTTCACCATGCAGGCTCGAGAGCAGCTTGTCCAAGATTCACGCAGGGAATTTGTGGCAGAGTGAGGATAAAATGTAAAGGTAAAAGCCCTGACAAATGTGCTATGTACATACAATGGAATATCATTCAGCCATAAAAGAAGGAAATTCTGACACAGGCTACACCATGGATGAGCCTGAGGACATTGTGCTCCATGAAATAAACAAGTCACAAAAGAATAAAACCTGTATGATTCCATTTGCATGAGGTTCCTGGCTGCCAAATTCCCAGAGACAGGGAGGGAGTGGGATGGTGGTTGCCAGGGGCCGGGAAGGGGGTGCGGCGGGATGGCTATTGTTCTGTGACTACAGAGTTTCAGTTTTGCAAAACGAAAAGAGTTTTGTAGGTGGATGGGGGAGACGGTTGTACAATAACATGAACGTACTTAATGCTGCTGAACTGCACACTTAAAAATGATCGAAATGGTAAATCTTATGTGTATTTTACCATGATTAAAAAGATACAAAAAACAAAAAAAAAGAAAAAAGGGAAACCCTACTGAAGCCATGGCATCACTGGGGAGTTAAGGGGACCCCAGGGAGGGCATCTGGGACACAGCCCAGGAAGCAGCCAGCAGTTACACCAGCCCAGGTCTGACAGCAGGAGTCCCGGCACTCCCAGCTCTTTATGGGCTGGTGCTGGATATGCATCACTGCGTCCTAGCAGCTTCCACGGAACTGAAGGGCTACCCACAGCCCGAATGGTGTTACCTGCAGAAGGCTCAGGGCACACCTAGGGAGGCCCCTTCAGTGGTCAGTCTATTTAGTAAAGAATCTAGATAGACTCTAGGTAAGTGAGGTTTGGCTCCCCAGGCACCCATTTTTTCTGACTTAATTGTTACCACTCTGGGTAGAAAGCTCTGTACAATGAAGCACCTACTGCCACCTTCAGCAGAGCGGTAGGAACCCAGGCCTGGCCTGGTGCAGCATCTCAGGCCATCCTTGGGCTGCACGGTGAGGACCCCACTGGGTTTACCAGGCAGGATATGAGGGCCAATGTCCAGGGACACTGACCCCTGAGACTAAGTTGCCAATGACTTGCTTCTTGAACTCAGTTCTGCTTTTCAGAGTTTTTCTTTCTTTCCCCTCAAGATTGAATGACACTTCTCCTGTCTTTAGGGTGACTTATCGCTAGCTGCCTTCTCTTTGTTTTCCAATTTGCTTCAGACTTGCAGTCTAGGTCAATGAACTCATTAGAATGTATCTAACCTAAGACTCAAAAGGTTCTAAATCAGGACTTGAAGCCTTCCTTAGGCAAGGAATCTATTTTCACTTTTCAAGAAGTTCCACCCACTTCTTCCCTTTCCTTCTGGGATCTGAGTGATATCCTGAGATCATGTGTGTGTGTGTGTGTGTGGCATGTGTCTGTGTGTGCACGCCTGTGCATGTGTATGGTGGTCTAGCTTCACGGCTTCCAGGGTCTCATGATCTTAAAGTGCTTTACAGGGACAGATAGACACTCTCCAGTGAGTTCCTTCAAGGCAGGAAAAGTCTCTCCATCCAAGTCCTGAAGGCTTCCAGAGGGGGCATAAAACCCAGCGAGCTGTTAGCAGCACTCAGATTCTCAGACGGCAAGCTCTCCAGCTGGCTCCTTGTTCACTCCCAGGATGGAGGGACAGCATTATTTTGTCTCTGCGGCAGGGAATAGTTGGCACCACAGGATAAGCTCAGACACTGACTCCAGGCCGAGCAGCTCAGGCAGAGCCTGGAGCCCACCTATGCCCCCAAGAAGCACAAACAGGGAGAACCAGGGCCCACTAATGGGACCTTCATAATTATAGCTCACTGACAAAATGATTTCTTGTGCACCTGCTCAGCTTGTGGGGGACTGGGAGGCAGACTCTTAAAAATCAGCAATATTAGACAGATGAGGAAACCGAGGCCCAGAGAGGTCATGTGGGCATGAGGGCAGGGTCCCTGCCAATCTTTAAAGGGGAGGATGAACACAACCTGTTGCATTCACAGGGTGCAGACAGCAGCGGCTGCCAGGGCTAACTTGGATTCTGTGCCAGGCATGGTGCTAAGCCCTTCACGCACAGTCATCTCTGCAGTCCTCACACTGGCCCTCAGTTTATGGGGGAGGAAACTGCACTCCCCAGCTGCAGGATCCCCTGCAGAGAGCAAGTGGATTTGACTTGCCCTAGGTCTCCAGCTGGTGAGGGGCAGGGCTGGGGTTTGAATTATCCCGTTCCTTGAGCCTGTCCCCTTTGAGCCGTGCCAGTGCCCTTCTCCACCCATGCCCTCAGCAAGGCCCTCACACTGTCTCAAACACATTTGTGAAAAAGCTCTTTCACCTGGGTGGCAGTGGAGAGGCTGCTCCCCACCTCCCCAGCCCTAGTTGGGGTGGAAAAATACCCAGGCAACCAGTTTCCACGGGAGATAATCAGACCCCACATCACCTTCTAATCAAATCACTCCCCGTCACAGCAGGGGCTTGCTGCTCTGTAGGAGGCAGGGAGGAGAGAGGAGGACACTGGAGAGGGGAACACAGGGTGAAGGCACAGGACGCCCCGTGCCCAGCCACGGAAGAGCCCCAGGGCGGCCCTCCAGACTCCACTAGATGAGGCACACCTCCCCCTCTGATCCTCCCTCTCTCTGAGCCCCAGCAGCCCTGTGGCCTTGGCTCTGACCACCGTCCCCCAGCTCAGACATCCATCTTCATTAGCCCCCCAAAGTCTAAGTACTTCAGTAGTGCCTCCTGGACAAGACCCCAGCTTTCTTCTGGCCCTTGACTGCTGGTTCCTACCCTGTGGCCTCTGCCCTGGGAGAAGGCACAGCTGGCCAGGCCCCTGTGTCCAGCACCTTGCCCCCACCTTGCTCCCCGTCACCGCTGCCCCGATGCCCTTCCCCACCACTCGCTCATAAACCTACTCCTCTAGGTTTGGGACGAAGGTGCCCCGGACCCCCACAGGAAGACTTCATCCCCCCCTCTGTACCGCCCCACTGCAGTCACATCTGAGGGTGCTTCTATGCCCGGCTTCCCCACCAGACTGTGGGTCCCTCAAGGGCTGACTCTGAAAGCGAGTCTTCTCTTAGCAGAGCCTGGTTTGTAGCTGGAACACTAGCACCTCTGTCATGACTATTTCCTTTTTTTGTATTTTCCATGGGAGGCGTGTGTTACATTTATAATGGAGAACCTCCACACCCCCGATAAGCTGCCTTTATGCTTTTACAAAGAGTCGAATTCATTCTAGCCTTACCGTCCCCCCTACATTTCTCTGGGCCATCCCTCGCCACTACCAGGACTTTGGAGCCTGGCTGCCCCTCCTGCCAGAGGAAGAACTGAACAGACCAGGTCACCCCCCAGCTGCCGGATCCCCTGCAGAGAGCAGTGTTCAACCCCAGGGGCTGTGGCTCTCTTGGGGGAGCCACAGACATCCAAGTCAAAGGTTGGCTGATTAAATCTCCCAAAGGAAAACTGCAGGGATTTTGGGTAGAAGCAGAGGTGAGAACTGTTTTGGTGTGGGGACCTGGCAAGGCCTCGCACCAGGGCTTCACTGCCCATGGCTCCTTGACCCTGTCCTGTAGCCACCACCTCCTCTGGGCTCTCATAGAGCCCCTCAGAATTCACAAGCATGGCAGGTGGCCATGGCCGTGTTTAGAGGTCCCTGGGCTGAGATGAGGGGACCTGGGAACCAGTCTGGCGTCTGCTTCTCATTGGCTGTGTGACCTAAGGCTAGCCCTTTCCTCTCCGGGCCTCATTTCTGTTCTTTGTAAAATGGGGAGGCCTGGCTTAGGTCACCAGCTCTCAGTGACGAAGCCTGGGCACCCTGGGTCCCAGGGAAACAAAGCCGCTCCTGGGTTGGGTAGGGCAGCCTCATTCAAAGTCTGCATCTTGGGGAGCTGGGATCTTGGTCTGGATGGGGCCAGTAGAGGCTGTGTGGGCAGACTGACTGA